CCATCAAAAGGCATCATTTTCCACTCTACTAGTCGTATCTTGCTTGCTTGCCATGTCCAATCACCTGGAACAACCATTCTTCACTGCAGAGATGACCTTTCTTTGTAGGCTACAGCTCTGCACAAATATGTAAAATAGTCTAAAATGTCCCCAAGTGACAATCCCAACACAATTAAAATATAACATTTTCTTGTAATTAAAGCTTCAAAGTTTAACTTCCTTTGTCTTGCCCTTCTGTGAAATTTAACACCCATGAGTCATTATTTACACATCTGGATGACCTTGAACAAAGCTGGAGTTGGATTTCCTGGGGCATTCTCTCAGACATTGCTGGAAGGCAATGGTTTAAAGTGGGGTGAACACTAGCTGGCCGTATATTTTTTAATATTTTTTTAAAATTTGGAGACTTAAAAAACATTTCAAAAATTCAAAAAAAAATTTCATAGCGTTACATAAAACGCTATGTAACCTCCCCGAGTTAACGCGGGCGAGAAAAATTACATAGCGTTACATAACGCTATGTAACATCCCCGAGTTAACGCGGGCGAGAAACTAAAAGTGTTTTAATTAACTCTTCACATCCAGATGTCAGTGATTTGTTTTTAGAGTGAGCTTTTGCAATTCGGGGATCCCCCTTGTACTGTACATGATACTTACCATGGACAAGTCACTATTACATCATTCTGAGTTTTGCATTGAAAAGTATAAACTGTAATTGTTTTGAAATTAAATTTTATTTTAGCGGTGTTTTGTTCATTTTTATAATAAGTAGCGAGTTTAAATTTTGCTGATTTCAAGTTGCAGTATTAAGCAGCCTATTTCTTTTAATTTCTGCAAACTTTTTTATGCGGTTTTAAGTTAATTTTAACTCGTTGTTTTGGTTTAATGCGATTTTAGAAAATTACGGAACATATCCCTACTTTTTCAAGGCAAGTAAAAAGTATTTTTTTTATGCAAATTTTTTATATGCGCTTTTCTGTAGAACGTATCCACCGCACAAAACGAGACCTTACAGTATTAATGGAAAACGCGTTAATGAATAAATTTAGTTTTTATAAAAAAAACAATGTAATTGTAATGAAAATCAGTTATACACTAACAAGCAATTATTCTTTAAAATTAACCTTTGTCTATTAATATGACTTATAACACTGATTTCTCTTACGGATGAAATCGAAAAAATTGGCTCAAAACAATAAAGTTTCTTTATTTGCGCGGTAACGTGAATAAAGTTATATTTAAATAGAGTAGGAGCATTAATTAATTAATTGTAATCGATACATTTATTCCTGTTGACAGAATACTAACAATTACAGCCAAAAAGTGTATAAATCTGTCTCTATGAAAATTAGCCGATTGTTTGAATTGTCTGATTAATTAATGATGCCAGATGATCATGTTTCTCGATGATTCGTTATTTTTTTATAATCTGGCTATATTCTGATTCTTCATGTTCCGAATTAATGACATTTTACCAATTTCGTAATTAATTAAAATCAGAACATGAAAATCATATTAATTCGTTAATTTCATAGCAGTCGATTTGAATCGTTTAATATTCAAACTTATCTAAAATGCTTTAATGCAAGTAGTGAAAGAAGATAATCGCAGCATCGCTTATGCATTAATGACGTATTTTCAATATTTGCCTTTTCGTAATTGTAAGGAATATTATTTAATATTTAATGTTATTGTAAAAAGAAGAGATTAACACAACATATTTTTACAGGATCCCATGTTGTTTACCGGTCCTCTTCGAAGGAACATCGACCCTTTCAATAAATATTCGGACGAAACGCTGTGGAAAGTCTTAGAAGAGGTTAGAATTAAATTAATATTTCAATTTGCTCTTTGATTTTCTTTTTTATTCTTTTAACTATTAAACTAAATTATTGTGTATTGGAAATAAAGGTACAGTTAAAAGAAGTTATTATTAAATTATTTGGAGGATTGGATACGCATTTAATGGAAGGAGGGAGAAATTTCAGCGTGGGAGAAAGACAATTAATTTGTTTGGCCAGAACCATTCTTCGCCAGAATAAAATTCTTGTCATGGACGAAGCAACGTCAAATATCGATAAAAGGTTAGAACACTTGAAATAGAAAATATGATGTAATTTCAGTTATAAATTACTGTTTAAAAAGATTTTATGTCTGATAGTTTATTTACTCACTCCTGTAAGTTGAGAAGTACACTGTCATAATACGAATTATGTTTGTTCTTTGTTTGTGTTGCTTAGACAATGGTTATTTATTTTTGCAAATTCTTAGATATTTGTGTCACTCACTTTGTGTTTCGGTCTGTAATCTTTTCAATTATTATTATTAATTAAACATAAACTTATTTTACTCACAATACTTTTTAAATCAAAAATTTATAAGTCAATCGTGAAATTAAGCATAAATAGCTGTCAATCGAGTCGTAATATAATCATTCCCCAATTTTAATGTGGAGAATCGCAGTTAAATACCCTAAGAGAGATGACAATGTTTCAAGTAAGACTGTTTATATTCACGATGATTAAATAAACGTTATGCCAATTATCAGATGGATAATATGCAGAGTGGTTAAACTTTCAACCTATCGCCCTGGAATCTGGGATGAAATTCTAACCATCACTCGCAAATATATTATGCACGATAATTTTAAATATGTTCAACCCTCGTTTGGGTTTCGCCTAAATCAGGATGAATATGGAGTAAAGGTTTTCTTATGTTTATAGGCCAAAAAGAACCAAGCATTAAGAAAGCTTTATTATTTAAATTCATAATTTATCTAGCTTGTTACACCTGGTTTTGAATACAAAATTATTAATTTTTTTAAAAAATGAGCTTTTCCCATAATGCAGCTTTTAGAAATAATATGTTCACATAAGTCACTTCAATTCCCATTCGCTTTAATACATGTTTTACATGCATTTTATTCTGATGTGCCAGTCTTTCATGCGATAGTTGCATGAAGAACTGGCACAGAGTCAATGGCATTCACTACACGTACTTTTCCCTCTTGGATTACTGCTGTCATAAGCACGTAGTAACTTTTAAACCTTTAGCCACAATTTGTCTGTTTCTTCTTAGAAGATATTTTTCATTATCACTCATAAGTGAGTCCTTTCTCAACTAATGTTGTGACAGAGAGTATCACAACATTAGTTGAAGTGGTTAGAAAAACCTCCCATGCGTTACGAACAATTAACTCAGTTTAATTCAGCCAGTTTTTATGCTGTGAGACATTTTTTACCGAAAAATCCCTATTAACATGTATGATAATTAAAACACGGAAAATGAAAAACACGGGTGTGATAATTGGTCTGAGTTTTTATGAAATGTTGTAGATATTGATATTTTGAAGTCAATTTTACTATTTTCATACAGCATTTGTGTTTTAAACTGATATTATTATTTTCAATTATGACGTATATTTCATTTATTTTCTGTCAAGAACCGATTCCTGTCTACAGAAAATAATTCGAGAAAAGTTCAAATCTTGTACTGTGTTGACAATAGCTCACAGATTAAATACAATCATCGATTCGGATAGAGTGCTGGTAAGATTATTCATTTTAATAATATAAAAATAAATGCTTTGTTAATTACATATTTTAAATTTTTAGGTACTAGATACAGGAAAATTAGAAGAATTTGACTCGCCGTATTCTTTACTGAAGAACGTAAATGGTATATTTTATAACTTGGTAAAGAAGACGGGAGTAATTTCAATGAATGAGTTAATGAAAATTGCCAAAGAGAAATATTACGCTAAAGAAGGGGTCGAACAAACAAAACTATAAAACAGTGGATTGTCTTCAATGTGTATCCATTTTTTACAGATCGGGTGTTATGTTTTTTATTTAATTTTGTTCTTAGAGACATTTTGTCAAGTAGTATTTCCGCACATCAAATAATATATAAAATTGGTAATATCTAAACATTTGTGAGTTCAACTGTTAAATTTATCTATAATAAATTCTACTGAAATATAATTATAATTTTTTGGAGATAATATTTTAAAAAATATTTACAATGGTTTATTTCCAAAATGAACTGTATTTTCAAGTATTAAAAAGCAGTAAATAACTTTCATTGGAATAATTTAATTAAAGTCTTTGTTTATGAATTCCACCCGAAAAATCTTAATCAAAAATATAAATCTTATGGCATATATGTATTCCAGCAAAAATTTTCATTACGGTAATAAGTAAAAATAAAATTAGCTTAAATTTTTCAGAATTGGTTTGCTTTTGAATTATTTTTATTTCTGTGTCTAATAATCAATCGATCTATGTAACTTAAATCTTAGACTTGAACTTAAATCGTATATTTCCTTTAATATTTCGGAATTAGGTAATGATCAAGGAACGATATTTAACACGGTAGCTTTTATGTAACGAGGTGGAAAGATAGAAGGATCTCGTGTCGTGTCTAGAGTGGGGTCAAATTTAATAATCTTCTTTGCTTGATAGCATGTGCTAATTTTTGATAAAAACCTATCTTAACCTTTAAACTTCAGCATTTTTGCTATTATATAATTACAATATAACGAGTATTTTTTTAACAAAATATCATTTTTGAGATAGCACAGCAGAAAATTTTAACTTTATATTCATATAAAATCTTCATAGAACTTCGAGGTTTTCTAACACAAATAAAACGTCCTTACACTTGAAAATAAATATTACAATAAGTGTTATATTATAGATGTGTAGTATTGACAAGTAATACTACATATGCAGTGTATAGAGATGAGAATGGGGAAAAAGGAGAAAAGTAACCCATTTGATACAGTTGGTGTTTTCTTTCGTATATTTTTATGGTATAATATTACTTTTTCTGATTAATAATTAAAATTTTGTAATATAAATAATTGCGAAGTTGTTTGTGCAGGGGTAAACTTTTAAAATAAAATACCTAATTTATTCATATCGTTTCTTCATATAATACAGCTATGTACACAGGTTTTATATTTGATTTTTAATGTACTATTTTTAAAAGACAAAGCCGCAAATCTTTTCGTGTGCACGAGATTGTGAAAGATACAGTATACATTGATAGGGATTTATAGATTCTTGAGACAAATTAAACATATATCGTTAAAATTATTATGTTTATCATACACACGATGTACTCTGTATTCGATGTGTGTTTAATTTTTTGCTTAATGTAATATATTATGCAAAATATAATTAAATACTTAATTTGATTAGTTGTTTAAAGTCGTCTATACATATAAAAATGAATGTCTGACTGTCTGCTGTCTGTCCTTCATGCATTACTACACCATTTATCCGATTGCCACGAAACTTTGGGAAGTTGTTTAGTATACTCTCGTGAAGGTTTCTGTCATAGTACATTTATCCTAAGATAGGTGATACGCGTGTATACGAGCATTTCATATATAAAATTGATTCGAAGAGCGCTTGCGCATAAGTTTGCTTTATTCGAACTCTTTGTCTTAATGTTCGATTTCATGTTCGAATTTATTTTTATGAATGATACTGGAAGATCAGCTTATTTTTCGAATTTTCTAAACTAGAAGAAGAACCCAGAAAGAGTTACAAAAACGTTCATTCATCACTTAGTTGGACTAGGCACAGGTTAGTGGTTGCAGTGAGTTTTAATTATCGTTATCCCGGTGTGGTAAGCAGATATCTAAAAATTTTCTAATTAATCTTAGAAGAGGGGGGACATTCTTGCACTTGATAATACGACTAAGATCGGCTATAATCTAATAATCTTAATCTTTTCTATAAATACTTTTTTCCCGGGTAATGCTGGGCTCATCTGCTAGTTTCAAGTAAATAATAAAAAATGTTATCATTTATATTGTGAGAATCGCCGGGGATATTAATCCATTAGGAAGTTAGTATCACTTAATCGGCGCTAGTTCGTGAAACTAGTTCTTTCGGTTTCGGATCTTGTGATCCGATCCTACGTCAAGATCGGTACTTTGACCGGGAGGGCTTTTGTAATGGATCCAAATTGTAGGATTTGAATCTTTTCATCAGGATGCTGACACCAGTTAATCACATTTGTCTTCCGCGGATTAACACGCGAATAGGGATCTGATTCAGGAAACAATCCAGAGACATGTCTTAAACAGTAAAGTAGTAAAATTTAATAAATCTAAAAATAACAATATACTACAGACAGGGAATTAGATAAACAATCAAATTAAACAAACAAGACGACAAATAATTTACTCAAACTCGTCAAGAGAGAAATGTATTCTTAACCTATACATTTCAGAGAAAGAGAGCTCACAATTTCTTAAATAACATACAACCTGTTAAAAGAGCTTTATCATCTTCTTATTGGCAAAGGTACTTCATTGATAACTTTGGATTAACTTGATAGGAGACGACAATGGCGTTGGTCTGCTTGCATATGTGTGGAGTCCTTTCTACTCTCCGATCTACGGACGAACTCTTAAGGGCGTTGGCCTTAGAGAGCAAATGAGTGGAGTCTGGTCACTCTCGGATCTGCCGACAAACTCCCGAATTCGGCTGAACTTCAACTATATCTTCGGATTTACGACCAATTATCATTCTAGGACTCTTCCACGTAAACGGATGGGAAGGGAGAAAAATGAGGGGTAGACAGTTCCCATCGAAGCGAGATTTTAAAGAGATAAGGGAAAAACAGAGGATGCTCATACTTCTGTCAAAGGAAGTGACTCTCCTAGCTGTTTAACCATGCTAGAAAAACGTTATTTTCCATCAAAATAGAAGAATATTTTTCCGTAAAGATTTTACTTTAATTTTAAATAATTATTTTAGATATTCGGATCTGACATTACTCCCTTATCTTCAAAAATCACACTAAATTTAAATGAAACGTGATTTTTCACATAGATATATAAGTTAGAAATTCTCTCTTGCTCTCTGAAAATTTGTGTGACATAAAATGAAAATCTTAAATTATACAATATATATATAAATCAAATTCAAATACATTGGTACAAATAAACAAATTTGCAAATTAAAATATAAAGAATAACAAAATTGACATATTTCATCGTCCTTTACATGATAGTAAAAGTTGACATAGTTCGTCACTTGCTTCGAATGCACCTTTTCCTTTGTTGAGAGTCTCTGCTGCAGCACATCTGTTGGCTGACTTCTTTATAGTTGTAGAAGTTTCAGGAATCTTAGAAATTCATGTGATGTCTTCTTGTTTCAAAAAGCACTTTCTAAATGTTCAAAGTTCACTGTGCAGTTCAAAATAATAAAATGTATTTTCTTTCTTCACTTGATACACTTTCATTTCTTCCAATTTTATTCAACCCTAGCAGACCCCGCCACGCCTTGTTGTAGCTCAAAATGTATCTATTATAAATATATAACACTTCCCCAGTGGAGGAAAATTTTTTTCGAAAAATCCCTTCTTAGTGTACATTCTGTTGACGTATCCTATTAAAATGCAATCAAAAACGCAAAAACCCGCATCTAAAATAGTATAATAGAAGCCAAGTTTTACAGAGTAAGCCTTAATCCTGTGTCTCTCCCCCATGGGGAGAATATCAAAAAATCCTTTCTTAATGTACATTCTGTTGACGTACTCTATTAAAATGCAATCAAAAACGCAAAAACCCGAATCTAAAATTGTATAATAGAAGCCAAGTTTTTCAGAGTAAGCCTTAATCATGTCTCTTTCCCCCGCGGGGAGAATATAAAAAAATCCCTTCTTAGTGTACATTCTGTTGACGTATCCTATTAAAACGCAATCAAAAACGCAAAAACCCGCATCTAAAATAGTATAATAGAAGCCAAGTTTTTCAGAGTAAGCCTTAATCCTGTCTCTCTC